TTTCTTGCATCATAACCATCATGTATATTTTCCTTCCCCTTTTTCTCCAATTTACTTACATCACAATTTTGGTTCAAATAATCATCCATGTTTATTTTCACAAGGTAAATTGGCTTATATCCAAGTAATGTAGCTATGATCACATATCTTATTTCTCTACAAGAAAAAAATTGGGAGGGAGGAGATTAATAATTGCTTAAATTACTTTTTGTTTGCTTACTTCCTATGTAACTATCATTCATTTATACTTAGATGCTTTCATGGAGCTACAAACTCCTATAAATATGGTCAAATATGACAGACGATCTCTGTTCTTTTTTTTTCCCCATAGAGTCCTATGTAACTATCATTCATTTATACTTAGATGCTTTCATGGAGCTACAAACTCCTATAAATATGGTCAAATATGACAGACGATCTCTGTTCTTTTTTTTCCCCATAGAGATATCCTTCCTTTGCTCTTCTGCTCCTAACCAGATTGATTGCATTGCAGACAGGTTAAACAGTATTTTTTCTCCTTGGTGTCATCTTGGGCATCATTTTGATTCTTTCCTGTTTGGGATTCACCTATTTCCCAGATTCCTTAATTTCCTTCCTTAGTTTTGCTTAAGCACATGTTGGTTGGGTAGCTTTACATTCTACTTTCCCTCAACTTTCCCTTTGAAATTCTCTTATTGTATTTTATTTCTCCTAACATATTTTCAACTTCTAAGAGTACTTTCTCAATGTTTGAAGGTTCTTTTGTTTATATAGCATTCTGTTTTTGCTTCTTGTTTCTCTTTGCTCTGGGAGAATGAATTATAATTACACTAGAGGTCCAATGCATGAAATTTGTGCAAGAATAGGTCTTCCTTCCCTTGGCTGCTGGCACCAGCTTCCCTCCAGCACCCGGGACCCTGGGCTTCTCTCACAGTGCTGGCTTCGTCCGTCCGGAAGGTCGTTTGGAAGGATGTTCAGTCCAATTAGCATATTATGCTTTTATTATAGATTGATTTTTTTTATTGTGCTTCCTGTGATTTTTCTGCTTTCTCAATCTCCCCACTATTTTTGGTTTGTTTCAGGTTCTGTCTTTCACTTTAGAGGCTTTCCTAAAATGTCCACTGGCCTTTGCCTGCTGTTTCAAATTTAAAAGTGTGGCACTAAGAGGCTAATTCTATGTATGTGGGAACCCTTTCACTTCCAATATTGGTATGTGTATGTACTTTTTTTTTTCTTGAGCTGCTTTGTTCTTGCCTGGTACAAATAGGCTGCTAGTCACTTTTCTGAGTGCCTAGCGTGGGATGAGGCCTGAAGCTCTTGCTCTCTATGAGGTAGGTCTTTGCTTAATCCTTTTGATTCCAGAGAAGGGCCTCATTTGAACCTTCAGTTGTCCTTCTTGTGACAAAGTCCCTGGATAATCTGGCACAACCTCTCCAGATAATAAGCCACATGTAATTTGGCTGACCAGAGGACAATCAGGATGCTAGAATCTGATCTCTTAGACTTTTCATCAGTTCTTTCAATTTTGGCTTCACTTCAGTCCCTTCAAGGCCACATCCAATTCCTGAGTCACTTCTGGGCTGTGAAACATGTCATGCTGCCTCCCTGGCAGACATTTATTAGACAAAATAAAAATCTGAAAAAGTTGTCCCTCTTCTATCTGGTTTTCATCTCACACAATTTCATTAACATTTCTAGTCCCCTGGCACCTACTTCTTCATCTCTATCTTTGCCAGTCTATACCATTTTACTTTTTTTCTGTCTTTTAGTGGAGTTTTGGAAAGAGGATGAGGAAAAAAGCTTATATGTATAATATACTTATCTTTAACCAAAAGCTTAATCCTTTTCTATTATTAAAGTGATATGATATATGATTTATAAAATATATGTTCATGAATGAATAGGAAATGAGAAAATAGAGATGTATTGTCATCATAACACACACACACACACACACACACATTGCTCTAGATGAAATTTCTGATGTTTTTTGGAATTGGCATTTTTTCTTTTCACTTTAATTCTTAGCCTCCTCCTTTGTTTTTGCATTACCTTATCCTTGACTTCTGTGACACCAGTTTCTTTGTTCCTTACAATCTCTTCCTAATTTCTCTTCTCTGTCCACTTCTCTTATATTTGTGACCTCTGTATTTTATTCTCCATCTCTCCTTTTCTTTTTTTCCTACTTTTTTTCTGCTTCTCCTTGATCTCTATTCATTCTCTAATTAGCATTTCTAAGCCATGATAAACAAATTTTTGTCTTTAGCCTAGATGGATCTAAATTTTTCTGTGGATGCCCTATGGCACCTTACACTCATTTCCAAAGTAGAATTCATTACATCCCAGAACTCTTTTTTTCTCCTCCAATTTAATTGCTGCCTCTTTTCCTTTAATATTATTTATAACTCAGGGGTTGGCAATGTTTTTTTTTCCATAAAGGCCAGGTAGTAAACATTTTAGCCCTTGTGGGCTATTCAGTTTTTGTTACAACCACTCAATTGTGCTGTCATAAACAAATGGGTGTGACTGTATTCCAATAAAACTTTACTTACAAAATCAGGCTACAAGCCAGGATTTGGCCCTTGGGCCATAGTTGACTGATCCCTGTTCTAGGTTAATGGTCATTTCAGCCAGAAGATTCTTAATTGGTCAATATGTTAAGATGACGGTGTCTTTCCCCGTGACCTGACCTGTTTCCACCATCCCACACACTTTCCTCTCTCAGGCCCCCATCTCTTTTATCTGTCAGCTGCAGTAGCTGTTTATACAGTCTCACTGCTCCTTGTGTTGTAGCCCTCTAATCCCTGCCCCTGCTGCTTCCAAAGCAGTCTTATGAAAAAAGCATTTATTATATTATATTATTCCTTGCTTGATATACTCAGTGATATGCAAGTAGCTACACTACAGGGCTTCCCCAATCTAGGTACATAAGAGCCCCGTGAAGTCTTGGTTAAAACAAATACTTCTGGTCCCCACCTCAGAGGTTCTGATGATATAAATTAGAGTTAGAGTCCATGAATCTCTATTCTAAACAGACATCCCAGATGAGTCCATGCATGTAGTCCTTAGACATTTGAGAAACATGGGCCATGGGAAAGGGCATTGCCATGAATGGAACACAAGACCCTCCCTAAGCATGCTGGGATTTAACTTTTTTTCCTGAACTGGCCATGCTGTTGCACCCCTTTCAGTTTTCCACAAGATAGTCATTTTGCTAGCAATGCCATTAACTTTTTGTCTACTTAGTAAACTTCCTTTAAGGCTCAACTCAAGTACCAATTCTTCTGATGAGTTTTCCTAAACTCCCCAATTCTTACCATGTACCAGTGTGTATAACATATTAACTGCTCTTATGTATCTATGTATGTATGTAACTCTCCTATTAGATTGTGAGTTTCTGCCGGAACCGGTTTGGCTCAGTGGATAGAGCGTCGGCCTGCGGACTGAAGGGTCCCAGGTTTGATTCCGGTCAAGGGCATGTACCTGGGTTGTGGGCACATCCCCAGTAGGGGATGTGCAGGAGGCAGCTGATCGATGTTTCTCTCTCATTGATGTTTCTAGCTCTCTATCTCTCTCCCTTCCTCTCTGTAAAAAATCAATAAAATATATTTAAAAAAAAAAAGATTGTGAGTTTCTGGAGGACAGAGACTATTATTTCTGCATTTTTGTATATTTTAGAGAGTACACTAAATATATAGTAATTCAACTCAACATTTGTGGATTTGATATAAGAATGAAGCTGTGGATATTACTATTTATATTTTATAGATAATTAAACTGAGGCTGTGAGATATTAACTGACTTGAGGTCAACCACATTGCCAAAACAATCAAGGATATCGTATGTCTTTTACTTAGCAAGCTTTTTCTATTCAAAATACTCTCTTCCTAGTATGATGGGATTATTCCCTGTGCTCAAGTAAGCCATGAATCTTGGAAGTGTCCGGCAGGATTTTCCAATCTGGGTATACTTATTTGATCTGTCATTTAATGGTGTCATTTCTGAGGCTGACCAACGACTGGGAGCAAGAAGTCCAGAGTCATTGCTCTTCAAAAGCTTAGTCTCTGCATTATTTGGATTTCTGGACATTTCCATATCAGGGCTGCCACATTTCTTAGTTTTCTTCCAAGAATCGGCATTACATTTATTCTGCCTAATTTACTATAATAAATTGTATGGGCATCATTATTATTGTTAGTCGACAACTAACTGTTGAAAATAAGGTAGGATCCTTTTGGTGATTACTTAAAGAGAACACTACCTATGCTTTCCTTTCCCGTACTTCTCAAAGAGTCTCTGGAATTCAGAACATGTATCTATCTCCAAGTGCCGGCTGAGATTTGGCAGCTGAAATCTAGCAAAGGTCAGGGATAAATCACAGAAACTTCTGAATTTAACACAATAACCTGGGAAAAAAGTTAATGCTAATTCTTGATTATGTTTGGCAGGTGAAGAAAGGGATATGTGCGGAAAGACAATGAAGTGATCTTCAAGAGTAGTCAGTATTCAGTTATTTAGTTCGCACTTCATTTTGCTTGTAGTAGCTTTTGGTACCATTTGACTCTTCTCAAGTAGGAACCTTGCATTTTATTAACTTCATCCCACCCTGAACATAGTGAAGACTCAAAAGAAGCTTGTGAAATAAAATGAATAATCCCCAAATCTCATTTCAACCTTTCACCTTTGATGTGTGGTACAATACTGATTAGCCAGTGACATGCTTCAGAAGCAGGCCACCAGAAAAAGACAGGCATAAAAAGCCATTGAAAACTATCAGCCAGATAATCAACCTTGGAGAACTAAATGTCTGTATGTATATCTGGTTACTCAAAACAATGAAATATAACAACAACACAGCCTAGAGACCTGAAATTTGACATTTTAATTTAAAATCTTTCATATTTCTTTGATAATTGTATGTTTAACATAAATATTGTCTACTTATAATATTTGTATTCCCTTTAAACACTTATTGATTAGCATTTAATAAATTATTGCCTGCACAATAAAAAACAAGCTGGTATTTTTTAAAAACAATTAAAATTTTTATTAATTTTGTTTTCATAATAAAGAGTCCATGGTTATAATAGTTGCCACTTTAAGTGACTACAGAAAAAACAAATATATAATTATTTTACATGATCATTACAATTTTCTAAAGTTAGTCACAGCATATACATGCTTTGCTACAAACTATAGCCCTTTGGCCATATATAAGCTGTCAATACTCAAAGGTGTTTGAACATGCACCCCTATTAGCAATGCATAAAGGAGAAAATAGGCTAAAATTGCTTATAAATATTTTACATTTTAATGCCCATGTTAACATTTTGTCTGTTGCTATATTGTACAATTAATACTAGGAAATATGTCTTAAGGTTAAATAGTGGTAACTTTTTCTATCTTGATCTTAATTATGCCAAGAAATCTGTTCACCAAACATTTTTAGAAAAGCTGCTGAACACAATTTCATGAAAAATAGTGTCTTTATATATTCTGTGTGCAATTTTAAGATCTGGCAAAATGCTTACAGACCACAATTCTGACATGAAGAAAGACTATTAAGGATGTAAATGAGGAGAAAAACCAAAACTCAGTATATGATAATAAAAATTAGCTAAAACTTAAATAAAAATTTATTAACAAACTGTGAAAATATTAGTCTATTTTTTTTTATTTTGCTTAAAATCCAAAGTTTGAAATGTCTTTTGTGATAACAGGCAATGATTGGGAAGAAATTAATAAAAAAAAGACTGAGGGATTTGTAAGTAGAATTCAGGTGGCATGTGAATTAATTATTGTCCTTTCTTTGGAGCCATATCGTTGGGATTGGGCTGGCTGTATCATCAATTAGATGCTGGCAGAAAGCAACGTGGCCAGTTTATTTCCAACATGTGGCCCTGGATTACCAAAAGAAAATAAAGTGGAAACTCTGTTATATTTTAAGAGTGAGTTAAAGCTCTTGGGACCAATTTGTTCCTCAAGTCACTCTGAGAACATTGCACTGTGTTTTGCTGGAACTGAATCAGGACCTTTTGCATCTATGTGACCGGGCAGTGACGAAAGTGAGGCTAAGAATGGGACTCTGTCCCCATGGGTTACTTCCCACCCCACCTCATTTCCTCTCTCTTTCGTTTTCTCTTGTGCTTTCACACACATCTCATCCCAAGTTAACATAAGGCATTTTGCTACAGAGATGAAAGAATTAAGCAAGAATGCACAAAGTAGGACGTTCTTATTGTCTCAAAAAGACAGTTTTGCCTGTGACAGAAAAGCACCACGTCAAGAACTTTTTTCTATTAGTTACAAAGATAATATAAAAATTAGTAATAAGCTGTTAAATTGCCTAATTTGTGTGATCTTAAAAAATATTATTCTAACTTTTATGCATATGCCAGAAACCATTTTATCTACAGCAGGAGTGAGAGAGGGTGCTGCCTTCTCCTTTGCCATGTGAACACTGCTCCAGGCAAGTCACATTCTGTCCATCGTGCGGTTACTAGCATCCCTCCATTGTAAGGATAGGAACCTGGGACCTGCCCTTAGTTTAATCATCTACACATTGTGTATTGTAGCAAAGTATTTACTGATGAGAAAACTAAACAACTAGTGTTTAAACTACAATAGTAATATTAAAAGAAGAATGTTTTGAGAATCCTGAACAAATTGTAGGTAGCATTTTCTTTGCAGAGTTCTTAAATGAGAGATTTTAAAGTAGCCTTTTGAGACAGTATTCTCGACTTTCTCTTTCTGTTTGTGACATTTGATCTCACCTGAATATAAAAAGTTAAATGACTTTCAAAAACTTGTATCTCTCTGATACTTCCTTCTGATCATTTAAATGTTTCCAATGTCAAAAAAACATCATACACCAGCTAAACTGCTTATACATTTTGCATCTAATAATAGTCCAACCAATGGTGTGACACTATTAATAAAAGAGTTTTTTAAATAGAATTATTAAAATTTTTAATTAATTGATTTAAACTTCATTTAAAGATTCTGTTTTACAGTGACACATTTTTTCTTTAAATCAGATTCACATTAATTTAAAAATAAATCTCTCTAATAGAAATTCTGAGTGAGCTCAATTTAAATGTAAGTGATGTATGAATATACTAGAAGTTATTAAGAGCTACATTGAAGTGCTGACTGTAAAAAATTAAGAGCTTTCACAATGAAGCTTTCTTAATTCTCACTGCTTTTCTTTTTAGACTGTAAACAGCTTATACAATGTCATGTGTAACTGTGAGTGTTAAGAAGATAATCACTCTTAAATTTTTCCATTGTTTTGTGCAAACACACAGTTTGTTTTGATTTGGCAAATGCCTCATTATCTTAATCACTTCTGTCCAAAATGAGGAACGTGTAATTAAATGATGATTCCTTCTTTCAAGATGAGCTGTATTTATTACTGGAACGGAAGTTGTCATATCCTTGATCATTAGCTTTGGACTTTAAGCACGACTGCTTTTCCTCCAGAGACTGTTTTTCTTCAAATGACTGGCACCAGCAGCATAAGCATGACTGTACAAAACAAAGGCACTCATTATATATTTACATCAGTTATACTGTCACGACTCCTACTCCCTAGGGTTCTGACTTTCTTTGCATGATTGGGAATTCTTGGGCCACTTTTGTGCTCTCTTATTTTTTCACTTAAAAACATGTAATTAGCCCAGTCGGCATGGTTCAGTGGTTGAGCATCACCTATGAGCCAGGAGGTCATGGTTCCATTCCCAGTCAGGGAACATGCCCAGGTTGTGGACTCCATCCTGAGTGAGAAGTGTGCAGGAGGCAGCCAGTCAATGATTCTCTCTCATCATTGATGTTTCTATCTCTCTCTCCATTCCTCTCTGATGTCAATAAAAAATAGATATTTTAAAAAAACATACAATTACATAAGTAGCATATGATAATTATTTTTAAGCTAGAAGATACAAAGAAGGAAAAATGTATAAAATTAAAATTCCCACCTTTTAATTAACATAAAAAAGGAAGCCACTCTTAATTCTTCATATTTACCCTTGACTACTTGAGAAATACTCTTGATTTTTTATAAATATGTAAATCAAGACTTTTTCCAATGCAAGCAGAAATATCACCATGTACATATATATACATGACTGTACATGAGCGTGTGTGTGTAATTATGTGCATAATTAATTTTAATAAAATTGTACTATATGTACTATTCACAGTTGGCTTTCTTTCACTTGACAGTGTCATAGACATCTTTCCATATCAATGAACTTAATATTACATTGCCAGTGTTTTCAGCCACATGCTGTTCTCATGTGCCTATTCAATACTGTTACATGATACACTATAAAGTATATAAGTGTCTCAGTTTTATTTATCCATTTTTCCCTGGATTTTTATTCAAAACTTTGTTTATTCTGTTTGTTTTCTGAAAATCTATATGTATAAGGAAATGGGAGGCCCATTGTTTTCTCCTCTATAAAATGAGGGAGTTGATCTTAATGTACATTTTCTCCTAGCTCTAAAATCTATGAGCTTATGGGTGGGCAAAGACTTTTATAGACTGCCTTAGAGTTTACAAGAAAGCTAAGTTCTTGACTTTCCAATAATGAACTACCAGGGACAAATGGATCATTCCCACTGAAGGGGAGGAAATACTTTTTTCTACGCTAGATTATCGAAGGAGTGAATGGATGGACATATGAATGTAACAATGCAAGCAGCCAGATGAGAAATAACTAAACATATTCCACATCAAGTAGCACATCCCTGCTAAGAAGTTGGAAAAGAAGAGCTAGAACCTGAATTCAATTTCTTTGTTTGATTTGCTCTTCTCATGTCCATGTGAAAAAGAGACCAATGTAGTTATACTTCAAATTGTGCTGCACAGTCAGTCCAAAATCTACTCCAAATGAGATGAGTGCATTTAATTCAGGTTTAGCTCTTATTCATCACATGATGTCTGTCAGACATCAAAGCATGTAATTTTTATTACTTTTCTAAGCAATTCTAAGTACAACTGGTTGGTTGAAGCAGTAAGGAGTGGTTGACTAGGTGGAAATCAACTATAGTGATATGTGAGCAAAAGTCATATTTTATTTATTTATTTAATATATTTTTATTGATTTTCAGAGAGGAAAGGAGAGGGAGAGAGAGTAGAAACATCAATGATGAGAATCATTGATCGGCTTCCTCCTGCACGCCCCCCCCACTGGGGATCAAGCCCGCAACCCAGCATATGTCCTTGACTGGAATCAGACCGGGGACCCTTCAGTCTGCAGGTCAATGCTCTATGCTCTGAGCCAAACCAGCTAGGGCAAAAGTCATATATTAAAAAATCATCCATGGTCTAATAACAAGGGAAAACTGTAAATTTACTAGATCTCTCTGAATAGAAATATTAATAGACTAAAGGCCCGGTGCACAAAAATTTGTGCACTCGTGGGGGTCCCTCAGCCCGGCCTGTGCCCTCTTGCAGTCTGGGACCCCACGGGGTATGTCCACCTGCTGGCTTAGGCCTGCTCCCCAGGGGATTGGGCCTAAGCTGGCAGTCAGACATCCCTCTGGCAGCTTGGGAGCCCCCGGGGGATGTCCACTAGCCAGCGAGGAGAGGGCCTAAGCTGCAGTCGGACATTCTTAGAGCTGCTGAGGAGGCGGGAGAGGATCCCACCACCACCGCTGTACTGGCAGCCGTCAGCCTGGCTTGTGGCTGAGCAGAGCTCCCCCTGTGGGA